ATTTTCATGAAAACGTATTGTATTTTTATCAAATTTTCATACCGTCGGTAATTGAAAATCTACAGAATCGTCAATAACAATTTCGATATTATAAAAAACATTATAAATAATTATAAGTTACCTTTAAGAATAAAAATTATACTGTAACAATATACGTCAGATTCCTATGATAAATGTCAAGCGATAGATGCGACATGAGGGAAAGAAAAGATGGTCATCGACCATTGAAATATACCAAAAATTTATTTACATAAAAACATGAATATAATACCTATAATATTTCAACTGCTGCGCATTTCTTTGTTCGCTCGGTACGCGTTATACCTAAACAACTGGCGTCGGGTCACGAAATAATGTCAGTATTGTCACAATTTTTTTAAACACACCTGCACAGAGGATATCCGAAACAACCTGCAATACGACCTAAAGTCTAATTGTTAAGCTACATCGAATCGATCTGATAGCGATGCGAACGCAGCGTCCGAGGTCTCTCGTCCTCGCGCGATAACTGACCGAAGCGATTTTCTCGAGCCGAAACAATTGATTAAATCAAACGAAACGCAGTGAAGTCTTCGCAAGATTCGTATACCTTCCAAAGTCTTCGAAGACTTACTCTCGTCTCCCTCACTTCACCTCTTCCTCGCAAACAACATAAAACACATTCGTATCATTGTTCGGCCGCGCGACATCGCCGCGACAATCATTTTTCCTTGTGGTACCATTCGTTACAATATTTACAGAATTATACGAACAACTTAGAGTATACAAATTCAAAAGGGCCGGCTCAAAAAGCTCTTTTCTACCTTCATACGAATATCTCCTTCAATGTGCGAGAGAGAAACATATTTTTCTTACTTCTACAAATCTACTCATGAAAATTATTATAATGAGGGGAAACGAATTTTACAATGAACTTTATTCCATTTACAATGAAATTTGTTTTTCTCAACTTTGCAGACTTCGACTTAACAGTTGATTAATCTTCTAATTGTAAGCCGGCCTCGAGTACAATAATTAAAATGTTACAATTTCTGTTAGTAACCAATAATCATTCTTACCCTTTCTCTTAACCTTCGTTCTTATAGATTCTATTACCAATTGCACTAATCTCAACGCGAAAGCTTTAATCCAATTATTCACTGGAAATGGACGGTCGATCAACTCATCCATCCCACGAAAATCAAGCGATGGGCAGCACGCGTACATCGAATACTAAAGCTACCTACACAGATTGCCTGGAGTGTTCACCTCGGCGAAAGTTTCTTAAGAAGTACGGATACAAAAGAAGTTTTCATCTCGGCACGCGCCAGCATTGGCCCAACGAGTCCCATACCAGTCCCTTTCAGTTTACTTAGAATAAGTCTGCGACGTGACGGTGCAACAAATTCGTGGAAACTTATTTTATGTAAAAAGAAAAATACAAAATTCCGTCCAAATGAAAAATAAAATTAGATTAGAGAGCCAACAAATCGCATAGAAGCAGTGAGTCCATTTCAAATTGCGATGGAAATTAAATTAAGAAATTAAGTCTAAGAAAAAAAAAAAACAAAATAGGAAATTAATTAATATAAAACATACATTTAATGTGCAAATGTTCTTTCGACAAACCATATTTTAAGAATAAGATTTCGCGAGTCGCATTCTAAGCGCAGAGACACTGATACTCGTACACGCGGGAAATATATTTTAGAAATTTGTATGAAAAGGATCATTAGAGTCTCTGTAAAGTCGATATATTAGTCTCAAAAATGCATTTATATTATTGGTTCAGTTTGATTAAACCGCGCGTAAGGCGGGGATATAGTTAAATCGACATCGACGGTTCCACTTTAAGTTAGTCTTTAGCTATTATTATTAAGTAATTCGATTGTGTTACAGTACGCAGCATTCGTGCTCGCTTTTGGCGCTCGCTCGAGGGAGCACGTCCGGTGCGAGATCGTGCGGATCTCCTTGAAAATTGAGACAATTTTCGCGCACAGGCACGGCGTGAAAATTGTAAAAATTGTATTAAAAAACGACGCGAATCCATATTATAAAACTGGAAAATTCTCACGCACAGACACACACGGCATTTTGTTATTAAGAAAAAAACAAAAATTGGAAAAATTCTCGCACGCGTAGGCGCGGCGTGAATACTCCTTTTAGAAAATTAAAAAATGTTGACGAATCAAAAGTGATCTGTCCGTCGACTGAAGGCAGATCGACAAATCACTTGTAACAGTATTCCGCACTCACGCAGTATGAATTTTAGAAAGATGACGTGATTGATCGTGGATATGATCTTCTCTGAAAAATATCAAAGGATGAAAAATTAGAAAATTAGATTTGTCGGCTCGAAAACTGGTCGAAAAGCTACACGTAATAGCGAGCCCTGTAGTTTTCTATCCATATACTTGCGTATAACTACGGCGAAATATTTCTGTATCAAAATTTATGATCTTACAAAATACTTTCTACGGATTGAATATCGCACGAACGGGCTGTCTCGAGCGGCTACCGACTTGGTGTATAAAAATTTAACGATACAGATCGCTCTGTAAATCCGAAGAATCATTAACTTTCACATGTAAGTCATGCAAACGCGATACAAATCGAGATATAAAACTACATCAGCTACGCGACCTTAAAAAGGCTCGGCTAATCGTTGCTGAAGATTCCATTGGTGATCACAAACGGGAAGCTACGCACGATATTATTCCTCATCATTGGCTAACGCGACGATCTTCGCGATCGTTCGACGCATATTTCGCTTTTTCTCTCCGGTCGGCGACGTGAGACAATTGCACGTACCTGGATCGCATTTCTCTTCCGTCTAATTCTAAGAATCGGATACTTGAAACAAGGCAAGGAGTTAGTCAAATCGTCAAGATAAACGTGGATCCAACGAATATGGATAACTAGCACGTTCGCGTGATCCTCTCGGATCCAACTTTATATAAAGTATCCAAAAAAGTTATTATCTATCTGTGGCCTCCAGAATTAACCAATTCGTCGGAGACTCGCGAGAATTTCAACATTCTCATTTGATCCGTCTGGCTGTCAGAACGACATCGTCAATTTTTCTCCGTTATCGAACGAAAAAGAAACGGAAAAATGGCAGAAACGAGATCTCGCGTCCTCGTGTTACGAGGTGTCACGCGCAGTTCGCTCCGATGACGAACGAGAAAAGTTATATTGTCGCGTAGTTCTATGGGATACAATCAATACGAACGTACGGACAACCGTAAATCCCGTCATTGTGTTTCCACATCGTGAAGCGTGCTCCGATTGTATAATACAACTACACATACAGCATCCAAGTCGATATAGCAATGTAAACGCGCGTACATACTCCATTTATATACATATATGTATACCTATGCACAAGGATGTGATCGCAAAAGACACGCTCTAGTCGCATAGAAGATGTCCGATGAAGTTGTCTTCTTCACTGTTGATACACGTGCGCTGCGAAAAGGTGGGTCGCTTTCAATTCGAGCTGAGATCAATTTCGCTTCGCGGCGACTTTCTCGGGCATTTCTTCGAGCGCTGCGATTTACGCATTACAGAACATTGCGTTCCTTTTGTTATCGTACTCTTTGGGAGTATAGTCCGAATCATCAAGCTTTTTATTTCGAAAAATTCAAGAAGTTAGCGAAAACTTAAATATATATAATATATTACATACACACACTTATGATCAATTTTCATTAGAATATGTATTGTAAAATATTTTCGCGATACTTTTGAAGTAATGTTCTCTCGAAGTAAATGCCAAATGAATCATTTTTTTAATTAAGTGTAGAATTTGCAAAATTATTAAAATATTATTAAAAATTATATTCACAGAGATGTGTTAATGATTATTCTCGATCGAATTATTTCATTGAATCAAATATGAGAAAACTTTAACAGATTATATTCGCATATATATATATTTTTTATTTTATATCACTTATCACATCCAAGTATATTTGAGAAAATCGCAGACGAGGCAGTTAGCGGTTATAAAATTTGCGTACAAACAGAACCTTTTTTATTCTGCGTAAAATCGTCAGTTAGTTTCTACGTCTTGCCTAAAAAATCGTGCGTTTTGTCGCGTTGCTTCTCATCGCCTTCTCCTCTTCCTCATGCGATCTTTAGATCGCGGAAACGTGGGCGTAATGCTTAAGATTTATATCACATCCTTCGTATGTGCGGCAGTGTTCCCTTATGTATTGATCGGCCATATAACGCCATCGAATCTCTGTCGCGGGCTCGAATTCAATTCAATTCGTTGCTCGATTCAAAAGAGCGTCATTCATCTTCTCTGGTTCAGCTCCAAGCGGCAGTTGCTTTACGCGGGTCAAGGAGAACTTTCGTAAGGTAAGGACGGTTCATCGACATTTATTCTCTTGCATTTGTAACTT